AAACAGTGAGCCATAGCAGCTCTACCTAATACATAGAAACAAACATTGGGAGGCTGCCAAAACAGGGAGACAAAGAAACATGGTCCAAATGAAAGAACAGATCAAAACTCCAGAAAAAAGTTAAATGAAATGGAGATAATCAATCTATCAGATGCAGAGTCAAAACATTGTTTATAAGGATGCTCAAGGAACTTAGTGAGGACCTCAACAGCATAAAAAAGATCTAGTCAGAAATGAATGGTACACCAATTGAAATAAAGAACGATTTATGGGAAAACAACAGTAGAGTGGATGAAGCTGAGAATCAAATCAATTATGTGGAACAGAAGGAAGCAAAAAAACAACCAATCAGAACAAAAAGCATCCAAAAAAACCAAAGGTAGTGTAAGCAACCTGTGGGACAACTTCAAGGGTTCCAACATCGGAGTCATAGGGGTGCCAGAAGGAGAAGCGAAAGAGCAAGAAATTGGACATCTATTTGAAAAAATAATGAAAGAAAATTTCCCTAATTTGATGATGGAAATAGACATGCAAATCCAGGAAGCACAGAAAGTCCCAAACAAGATGGATGCAAAGAGGCGCACTGTAAAACACATCATAATTAAAATGCCAAAGGTTAAAGATAAAGAGAGAATCCTAAAAGCAGCAGGAGAAAAGCAGTTAGTTTCTCTACAGGTGAGTACCCGTAAGACTGTCAGCTGATTTCCCAAAAGAAACCTTGCAGGCTAGAAGGGATTGGCAAGAAATATTCAAAGGCATGAAAAGCAGGGACCTATAGCCAAGACTGCTCTACCCAGAAAAGATATCATTTAAAATTGAAGGGAGGGTAAAGAGCTTCCCAGACAAGAAAAAAGTTAGGAGTTCATCATCACCAAACATCATTGTACAAAATGTTAAAAGGGCTTATATGAGAAAAAGAAGATCAAAACTATAAACAATAAAATGGCAATAAATACTTATCTATCAACAATTGAATCTAAAAAAACAAAGTAAGCAAACAAGAAGAACAGAGAAAGAATCACGGATATGGAGATCACTTTGATGGTTGCCAGGTGGGAGGGAGTGTGGGGGAACGGGTGAAGAGGTGAGGGGATTAAGAAGTACAAATAGGTAGTTACAGAATAACCACGGGTATGTAAATTACAGCATAGGAAGTGGAGTAGCCAAAGAATTTACACACATGACCTATGGACATGAACAATGGTGTGGGGATGGCCTGCAGGAGTCAGGGGTGGAGGGGACCAAAGGGGGAAAAATTGGAACAACTGTAGTAGCATAAGCAATAAAATATAATTAAAAAAATAAAATTAGTTACCCTTCTCTACCTCATACCAAAGCAATGAGCAAACACCAGAGGGATATAAATTTGGAAAATACTTAGGTTACCAATTAATTGGAAAAACACACTTGAATAATTTAATTTTTAAAATAATAAGTAAAGGTAAAGTTTGCATAGAAGTTGGAATGTACAAAAACTTGAAACTTGGCATCGCTTATTATTTTAAAACAATACAGACAGTGACAGGGATATTAAGGGGTGGCTGTTCTAGCTGAGCCTCTTACCATTGGTATCTTCTAGATAGATGTGTGACATGTTTATGCAAGGTCTGTCCAGAAGGTATCCAGCCATGTACTATGAAAAATAGAGACATTTATTGAAGAAGATACAAGTAACATTGTACATGGGACATTGACGCCTCAGTCCCCTTCAAAGCAGGCACCTTGGGATTTCTCACAGTTCTCCCAGTCGCCATCAGCTGCCCCATCGTGTTTTCCTGAATCTCATTTACAGCCTGAAATCTCTTCCCTTTCAAAGGTGATTTTAGTTTTGGGAAAAGCTAGGTGTTGCAAAGTGCCAAATCTGGGCTGTAGGGAAACTGAGTCACCTGGATGATTTGATATTTCACCAAAAGCCTCTGCACCAGGCATGATGAATGAGCGGATGCACTGACCTGATGAAGCTGTCAATCACCAGTTGCCTATAGCTGTGGCCTTCTGAATCATCTGAATCGTTTCCATGGAGGAATGTTCAGGCTTAACTCAAAACCTGATGTAGATTCGTTGCTCTACTTGCTTAGTCATTTTGAATGCAACAGCCACACAGTACACATGCTCACTCAATGGCATCTACCGACCCCATTGACTAGTACAGGGACTTTGTCATTGTTCATGCATGTGCATTCCAGTCCACTCCCCTTGGCTGCCAGTTTACATCGATGTCACGCAAACCGTTCTTGTATATTAACAACGGCTCGGCTTTTTCTGGAAAGACCTTGCATATGCCAGCCAGCACAATCCTGACCAGAGGAAATATGTTTCTTTCACTTTCCCAAGAATTAAAATGAATGTATTTGAACCACTCTGGATTTCATTTCACAGGCTGGAGAACCAGGCTACTTAAGGAGCTATATCGTCTGAAATGAAAGAGTTTCTACTATTTTACTTCTTCAGCACTTTCTTTCCTTGGAGTGTCAAAATAGTTTAGATAATCAATCTTAACTCTTATTTTCCATGAAGACGTTTTGACATTGCTTATGCATGATATCTTTTGTTCCTTTGTTTTGTTTTGTACACCTTTTATTGAGGGATAATTTAGATACCATAGAATTCACCTATCTAAAGTGTACAGTTCTGAGTCTTAGTAAATTTACATAGTTGTGCAGCCATTACCACAATCCAGTTTTCAAACAAACTCATCACATAGTCTGCATTTGAGCAGCCCCATATGGAAAGAATTTATTGTACCATTAACCTGAATATTTAAACTATCTAGCTATAGGACCTAACCTAGGCATTCATTTTGAATAAAACAAACTCTAAAGAAAAACAAGTTCAAACTCTGAACTTGACTCAAAGTGGAGGTCCATAAAGCACATTCTCCAATAGTCTCTTGACAGGTCTACAAGCTATTTAAGGACATACATTAAAAATACGAAAAAAGAATAAAAGTTAATGCCCTAATTTATGTGTATATTTTGAAAAGTATATATTATATAATTCATTAGAGTGTATGCTGATATTAGGGCCACCCTCACCCAGTAACAAACTTGTTTTTTCACTCTTATGGCTATGATTAGGTGCAATAAGATGTCCAGAGCCTAAACATTTTGCTCCAGCATATCACAGATTTATGGAAGAAATATTCCCCTTGCTATGATATGGCTGTGCCCATTTTCATGGGGTGACTGAGATATTGGCTGGGATATTTGGAGAGGAAGAGCATCTTCCTGGATGGGGTATTTAAAGAGGCCCTGATTTTGTCTTGTTTCAAAAAGATATTATTCAAGAAATAATTAAATTATGATGCCTCTCTTCCTGCAAATCCAATATTCATGGTCTGCTTCTTCCAATAGAACATCTGTTAAGTATGTACCTAAAAACCTCTCAGCGTAAGAATTATAATCTGGGAATAATGAAAATGCCTCTATTTATCTATTTGGTTTTTTGCTCCCATCTTATCTCTAAGTTTATCTATAGGTATTTCAGACGGGCAGTTATGTATAAACTAGCTCCACTTTGGTTCCAGGCACAACTTTACCCCCAGTTTCCTGTTCATTCCACTATTTATATTGATACTTGTGTTCAGTCTCTACCAAATGTTGAATAAGCTCCTTGTTTTTAGAATAGTTGTTATAAATATTGTGTGTGTGTGTGTGTGTGTGTGTGTGTAAATACATTCTACATTTCTCAAGCACCCAGTACACACTGGACACACAAAAAAGCTACTTAATATGTATATGTTTAATTAATAAATACCTCAGATTTGCCTTCCCTCTTCCAGACCCCCATGGCATTTACATTTATCATATAGCCCAGATTTCCTAGACATTACAGATTTTGTGCTACTGTCCCCACTAAGTACAGTAGCATGTGCCACACCACGTGTGTCCATATAGTCCTCAATAACTATAATACGAAGCCATCGTTATTGCAGTAAGTCTAATTTTCTATTCCTCCATTTTTGTTAACTACGAGATTTGATTACGACTTCAAATACAGTCCCCTTTTATTTAATTTCATTCTCAATTTTTAATATTACCAGAGCATACTATAGAAAAAAATTGACAAAAAGTACAAAGTAAAATGTCTCTCTACCGAAGATAATCTCAGGGCTCCTACACTACGAGTGTCTAGAGAACATTCCGAACACACAGGAGGCGGCTGTGCGGTCCCCTGGGCACCTGTCGGAAGACCGCCCATTCACTGATTCTAGGATCTTGGGTGAGTCACTGACACCTCTACGAGTCTCGGAGTTCCTCCATAAAATGATGTCCATCTCACCAGGTGGTCGAGTCTAGAGAGACGTGTATGTGTAGGCACTCTGTGAAGTCTTAAGCGCTACGCAAGTTTAAGTATTGTTGTAGGGTCCTTTATGCCTGCTCTGTGACACCTGTCAGTTTACCTCGCAACTTTAAAAGACGCCCTCCCCACCTCTCTCCCGCACCCCATTTCGTTCCCGCCGCTGCAGTACGGCAAATTCTGCATCTCATCCTGCGACGGCCGCTTCTCTAGGCTTCTCCTCCCCAGAGACCGTGACCGAGCACAGCGCCCACAAGCGCCAGGCCCCGGCCTGGGGTTGACTGGGAGGCTCGAGGCGTTCTCGGCCGCCGGGAGGAGCTAGCCTTCTTTGCTGCGCTTCTCGCCGCAGTCCGTAAGTCGTGTTTCCTCTAGAGCTGCCGCCGGGTCTCTAACGGAAATCCGAGTTGTTCAGATCTTACGCCCACTCCGTCCCCCTTCAAAGATTTGTAAAGCGAAGCCTCCCGCCCCCGAAGCCCCGCCAGCCTCTAAGTCGCCCTCCAACTTCAGCCACGCCCTCCAACCCAAGTCCCGGATATCCCACGCCTCTTAGCTTCTTATTTAATTTCGGCGCGCGCCAAGCCTGAGTATGGCTATGATTGGTTGGAGGTGAGCCAGTCTCCCGTTTGATTGGCTGATAATAGCTAGAGGGTGGGGTTAAGAATGTTGATTGGTCCTGCAAGGCGGAAACAGGTGTTGGCACAGGAAGTCGAGAAAGAGGCGAGAAAGAACGTGATGGAATTAGTTACGTGTCCAGAGCACGGTGAGGGGCAGGGTCCTAGGGTCTGTTGGGGTCTGTCCACCTGTCGCGGTCTAATTGTGATCGACCTTTTCTTCTCAGGGACCATCTGCTTTCTGAAGACCGGCGTCCACGATGGCCCGAATAAAGGAAAGAGCTTCTACGTGTGCCGGGCGGACGCATGCAACTTCGTGCAGGCCACTGAGTAGGTCTCGAGCTGGGCACTATTCCTGCGACTTCGCGGGGCTTCCTGGGAGAAGCCGCCGGCTCTCCGCGCCCGGCATCGCTGGGACGAGGAGCCGTGCGGCCTTTGGTCTGGGGAGCCAGGGCCCTTCAAGTACTTGGTAATCCTAGGACTGCGTCGCGCCTTCGGGAGACGCTCTGTTTCTGCTCTCTGTGGCCGCCCAGAGCCGTGTAATGGAAGATAGGCTACATCTGGATTCCTCTGGTCCTTTCCAGCTCTGGGTTTCTATTTACTGTCAGGCCTAGGCAACTTCTGCTCGGACATTTCCCCGCTTCCGTCCCTCCCACCCCATTTAAGGGAGGACCTACGTGCGGGCGTAGTAGAAAATAGTTGGTACTTGCCTTGCACCAGTTTTAGGCCCAACTGTTTTTTTAATGTTTGTTAAAACACTCCGATGTCCCCATCTAAAAATAGGATTTAAGTGGTGAGAATGAAAATCCAAAGAAACAAATTAGGGATTAACTCAAAGGAAATCAGGTATCTAATTTTACAAAATTGAAAGCTGAGACCTAGAAATATTGAACATCTTCTTTAAAGTGAGAAAAGTTAATACTGTTATCAAAGGGTTGATGTTTTCTCAGTGTGAGCACAGTCTTTAATGAACTTGAAAACTATCACATCACTAAACATTGTTTCCTGCTCTCTACTGAACTTGGTAGAGAAAAATAACTTTTCTCCAGATCATGTAAAGTACACAGTAATGGATCTTAACTAGAAAATAACTTTTTTAAACATATATATTAACTCTTCCGAAAAAATATTTTCTTAGCCCTCAACAAGTTTCTTTTATTTGAAAAATTACTGGGATCCACTTGAAATACAAAATGATTTTGAGTAAAACTATCAAATCTTAAAATAGAAGGGACCAACCAAAAATAAGCTATTAACAACATAGTGTGTTAGAGTTTATTATTTATTTCTAATTTCTGTACTGAGCTTCTTAGGTTCTGTAGCTAGCTCAGCTTTCATGAAACATGAAAGCATGTTCATATTAGTTGGAATTAAACATTAATTGTAGCAAAAGACCGTTTTACATTAAAAGGAACATACCCTTATATGGAGTGCCGTTTATACAAATGTTCTAGAGCACAAACTAATACAATAATACTTGACTTCAACACTAATTTAATACACTTGCTCTCTTTGGGATATGTCTAATAACTAGAATGTAAGCAAAATAAATAAAGTACCACAGGTCATAGGAGAATAAAGTGTGACAATACATCACTTAAACCTATGCACTCTCAAATAAATCCTCTCATAATAAGCTGGAAGAGAGAAGTTAAATTTATGCCAGGTATGAACAAATTAGTGTATATTGCTAGAGGAGGCACATGAACAACACTGACAGCAAACAGGCTACTAAAGGGAGGAGGGAAGTGGAAGAAAGACGCTGATAGAAATTAGCAGCCAGCCTTACATACTCCAGGCATTCCAGGACTCACAATGGCCCATACCACAGTACAGTTTTAAACTTGTGAGTCATCAGGAAAAAGGGATTTACTGTCACTCATTTGGGGGAATGGGAAAACATGAAAGCTTTTCCCCAGGGGAGTGCACAGACACCTAAGAATGTATGGGGTTTGCAAACTCAGTGAAGGTCATACATGGACTCTTAAGTTTAAAATCCATAGTTTGGATTTCATTTTAAGGTGTTGACTTTTTTTGCCTCCTGAAACAAAATGTCATGGTTTTTTTCCTCTAGCATTCCTGTTTCTCATTGTTTATTGCATGAGGGCTTTGTGGTAGAGCTTCAGGGCTTGCTTCCACCGAAGGATACAAAAGACTATAGGTAAGTGTCCAAAGGATCATCCAAGTGTATTGGCTTTTTTTTTTTTTTTTTGCCTGGAAAAGTTAGAGCCAGATATGTATTCCTAGGAAGGACAATTCTTTATTAATCATTTACTTAAAAACAAACAAACAGTATTTTTATATTTATTGAATATCTTCTGAGTCGCACTTTCGCACTACTGAGCAAAATTTGAGGATTAAACTGCTCCACCTTTGTTCCTCTTCAGCTTTCAAGTCGCCAGTAACACCAGCCCACGAAGGGTCATTAACTTGCAGTAACTTGTCAGCTTCCTCATTCTGATAGTCGAATGAGGTAATGTGTAAAAATGTCTAGCATATGTTAAGAGCTCAATAAGTATTAGTTGCTTTTTTTGTGTGGGAATTCAGAGAAAGGGCAAGGAAGTCTATATTGGTGACATGATATTTCTCATGAGTATTGAAAGATAAGTAGGAATTCACTAGGAAGGGATCATATTTAACTGATTAATACCCTGTGTTAGTGTTCTGAGGCATGAAGGAACAGGGAATTACAAGCATTCAGTTCAGTAATAGTTTAGCTTATGTTGGACTAGAGACTTCAGAAGGCTGGCCAGGAAGGCAGGGGCCAGGTATGATGGTCTTTATATGAAATTCTGTACAGTTTGGAATGTATATATTCTAGATTGACCGCTCCCTCACACCCCCAAAATCGAGGCATTCAAGCACCATGTTCACAATTTTTACATACCTGAATACTATATTTTTCTAAATTAAGCCATGCACATAATAAGATGCAGAGATCTTAAGTGTTCGGCTGGTTGAGTTTTGAGAGATGTGTATATACCCTTACATATGACCAAGACCCCAGTCAAAATGTACAGTATTTCTATTACCCCATTAAGTGCCGTTGGACTCCTTTCTGGTTAATACCGTTACCCACCATTGACAGCCACTGTTTTGATTCATACTGTATGTATTCTTTTTTTGTCTGACTTCTTTTATGTAACAGTATCTGTGAAATTCTCCATCTGGCTGTGTATATCAGTAATCCATTCGTTGTTGCTGAGTTGAATTCTATTTTTGAATTCCATAGTTTGTTTCATGTGCTCATTTGCCATCTGTGTATCTTCTTTGGTAAAGTAGCTGTTTAAATCTTTTGCCTCTTTTTTTTAATTGAACTTTTTATTGAGATAATTGTAGATTCACATGCAGTTATAAGAAATAATACAGAGAGATCCCCTGTAGACTTTACCTAATGGTAACATTTTGCAAAATTAGCAGAATATCACAACTAGAATACTGACATTGATACAATTCACTGATCTTACTTGTAAAGCTAGTTTTACTTACACCAAAATGTATGTACATTTAGTTATATACAATTGTATCACGTTTCATGTATTCACCACCACTGTCAAAATATTGAACAGTTCGATTACCACAGGAACCTTCCTGTTCCCCTTGTATAGCTATACCCACCTCCCTCCTGCTCCCTCCTACTCCTGGCAACCGAGAATCTGCTCTCCATTTCAAAAATGTTACATAAGTAGAATCACACAGTATGACTTTTGGGGATTTTTGCCTATTTTAAAAACTGTGGATTTTTTGTCGTTGTTGCTATTGAGTGAAGGAGTTTCTTATGTGTTCTCTATGTAAGTCCTTTGGCAGATATACGTATTATTTTCTCCTGTTTGTGGTTTCCATTTTCTTAACTATCTTTTGAAAAGAATTAAGTTTTAAAATTTTTATAAAGTCAAGTTTATTATATTTTAATGGTTTCTGCTTTTTTTCTTCTCTCTGAGAAGTCTTTGCCTATCCAAGATCACAGATTTCTCCAGTGGTCTCTTATAGAAGTTTTATAGTTTTTTGTTTGTTTGTTTGTTTGTTTAGTCTATCTATGGCTGACCTCAAATTAATTTTGGATATCTTATGGGATAAGAGTAGAAGTTTATTTTTTTCACATAATATTAAATGTTACTCAGTTGTTTCTGTGCTGTTTTTTGAAGACATTTCTCTCTATGGAAAGGCTTGTAAAAAAAAATTAGTTGATCACCGTGTGTGGGTCTGTTTCTGGGCTTGCTAATCTGTTCCATTGATTTCTATGCCTGTCATTACACAATCAGGTAACATAGTGTGTGTCTTCTAACTTTATTTTTCAAGATTGACTCTTCTAGGTCCTTTGCATTTCCATATACAATATAGAATCAACTTCTTAAATCGCCTCAGAAAGCCCTGAGGAGATTACACTGAATCTACAAAGATCATTTTTGGAAGAACTGACATTAATATTGATATTCTAGTTCATGAACAGGGTATATTTATTTAGCACTTTAAAATTTTCTTTTAGCATTGTTGAATAGTTTTCATTATGGAGTTCCGTACCCTTTTTTGTTCATTTCAGTCCTCAGTGTTTATGTATTTTGATGCTGTTGTAAATGGAATTTTAAAAAATTTCACTTTTCTGTTGTTTTCTGCTGATCGAGTAGGGCTAGTAAACTTCTAGTACATGGACTCTGGGTGTCCGCCTTACACCTGAAGCCACTGGCATATGACTGGGGGCCCTCTATCCTGCAGAAACACTGTCCTAGGTGGTAGGAAACCACTGGAGAATTTTTTATTCAGTTTGCATTAAAAGAACAAGGGAGCATAAATTAGAAAGTAAAGACAGTGGAGGCAAGGGGACTCCTGAAGAGCCACTGTGAATGCCTACCTATTGCATAGCATGCTCACTCTCTCTCATTGTCTTAGATTCTGCTGTGACAGGTTTCATCGTTTCGGTTTTACAGACTGAAAAGGAAGCATTTGGAGAGGTTAGGACAGGAACTTGAGCTCCCACAGTTAGGAAGTGGCATTCCTGGGATTCAAACTCAGTGCAAGATGGGCTTGGATCGAGGCGGTGGCAGTGCGCTTGGCATATTGTCAGTGCGCAGTAAGTGGTTGCTGAGTTGGGGTTTGTGGGTGATGAGTATGCCCTTAAGCAAGATAGGAGGGAAGGGCAACATCAGTAGAGGACTGAGACGTTGCTCACACACAGACCTTTGCGCTGATCATTTCTTCTGTACATGTGACACCAGCCAGAAGAGGGAGTGCGCAGCTCTGAAGAAAGGTCCAGGCTACACTTAGGATTTTGAGAACTTAGCATCACTATTTTCTGTACGAGGTAGGTGGAGCTGAGAGGTGATCATTATTTTAAAATAGAAACAAAGTATGCTAAATATAATCCTTTTAACCTAACTCTAGAACACTATTACTAGGAGGTACTTACTAGAACTTTAAAAAGGTTGTTTTAGGACAAATAAAATACAGTTCTATAACGCACAACAAATTAAAAACCAAAAACAACAACAAATTCATGTATCCAGATAGGCGGTATAAACTGGAAATTTAAGCAGAAATAGATGAGCCTGTGGATGATGACTTCCTCTGCAGGCTGTAAGACATTTAGCTAGAACTCCCTTACTCTGGAGAATGACCTCAGGGAATATAACCTTTCCTTCCCCCAGACTGGCTTTTGTTTTCAAGTACTTACATATCCTTGAATTAGTTAATTCCCTTATGATTAAAGCTTAACCTGACCAGGAGGCTGGTGCAGCAGAGTAATGCAGGTGGGAACCGAGGTGAGGCTAAGACGCCCGTTCTCCCTGCGTTGGAGTATAGTTGCATTTCTGTGCAGTTCTCCATCTTAAACACCAGGTGGCACCACTCACCAGCATTTGACTGGCCCTTTCGCCACAGCCCTCTGTGTGGGCCACGAAGGAAGCTATGATAGTCACTCAGTAGAAGCAGAGGGAAGAAAAGGTGGGGGGTAGGCAGAGACAAATGTATTTGAAAAAAAATAAATGAAAAAAAATGCTAAAATGTTTAATGGAGATTATGCTAAATAGACAACTAGATCTGTGGCAAAAGATGAAGACCACAAAAATGGTAATTATAAAAGCCCTTTAAAAAATATCTGTACTATATAAGCATATGCATATATGTGTGTTTAAATGTAATTAAAAGACTTTAAAATAAAAAAAAACAAAAACAAAAAAAAAACAAAAACAAATGTGGGACATTGTCATTGAGCTCCTAAGTTCCTGTTCTTTTCTTTCTTTTTCTCTCCCCAGCCCCAGCCTACTTTTTATTCTCAAGGATATGGGGTCAAAATGGGTGCAAGTACTGTTTTACCTAATAATAGTAAAATGAGTTTTAGTTCTTTCAGTCACTGGTTGTCATGGGATGCTCAAAATATTTCTGATGACACTTGAATCTTTGTATGTCTCATACAGGATTCCTTGTATAGTTGGTGTTGGGGTGTGCACGTTATCCAGCCCAATTATGATGATCTAGGCCCATGAAAGAAGCAGTAGGGCTTGAGCCGGAGGGACCTCGGGCTCCGCCAGCCCTTGAACAGCCCCCATCAATAAAGCTGGTACTGAGTAGGTGCTATAGAGAATCATTTGCTGTGCTGTACAATAGAAGTCATTCTTCTATGAAAAAGATATTAGCCCTTTGTAGTATGTGTCGCAGTTACTTTCCGCAGTTTGCTTTTTGTCTTAGAATTTGCTTATAGTATTTTTATCAGATGAAAGTGTGAAACTTACGTAGCCCAAAGTGCTGAATTATTTATCTCAGCTGCAGGGTTTTATGTCTGTTGCTGAGAGAAGGCTTCACTTTAGAATTATAGAGATAGTCATCTGTTTTTTTCCTAGAATATTTACAGTTATGTTTTTTACATTTCCAATGTTTTTCCATCTTGGATTTTAGTGTGAAAGCAGCAAACCCAAATTCCTGAGCGCCCTGTGACAGAGCTGCATGAGGGTGAGGCGTGGGGGGCGTTGAGCAGGCCAGTCCTCTGCACGTAGCAGAGGGCTGAATTGGGTGTGTTCAAATGCCGGATGCTTCTGTGACTATAAGGCCTGCAGTAAGGGGTTCTGGCTAATGAAAGTTACTGAGAAAGTGGAGGAATTCAGGCTTGAGCTTGGCCTTGCATCATCTTTAAAATTTGGATAGAGAAAAGGACAAGGAAGTGTTCCAGGCCATAAACAGAGGTGTGGTTATAGGAATAAGCCCGTGTGGCTACAGGAGTGGACTAATGATCGCTGTTATTTATTACGTTCTTAATACACGTGTGTGGATGCATTTGATCTTCACAGTGACCAAATGTCGTTTTGTGTGTTTTTTTTACCATTTTACAGAAAAGTAAACTGCCACAGGGGTTTAGATAAGGTGTCTTTGTTCTGGGAGCTAATTTTATGATAAGGCTCGTATTTGAACCAACAGAATGTGGTTGTGAAACCTGGAAGAATCCCAGCCTAGATTGTGATGCTGGGTTGGACAGCCAGCCCCTAGTAAGAAGGAAGATGGAAGGATTTGCCTTCTGATGAAGAAGACAGAACTGAAGAGGTCTGGCTTCCTCTGGCTGGTTTCTTCATCATTGTTTATAACCTGTGTCCTGGAAAATAATGAATATACTGCAGAAATTACATTTTTCTTCATAGTGGAATCAGTATTTGCTTTCTTTGTGAGAATGTAGTTCTACTGCTTTCTTTGTTAATTTACAATTTAATAAACATAGCAAACTTTTTAACCTAAATAAAAACAAACCACTCCAGATTGACTTTAATAACAATGTATGATAAAGTATTTTTAGCACTGTGCCTAGCACATAGTAGATGCTCAGTATGCAGTGTTTTCTTCCTTCTTTCTCCAAATCTTTCCTTTCTCTTGAAAATCTACATGGCTTGGGCTTTAAAATAAGTTTTTAGTAAAGATTTCATGTACTAAACACACTTTCAACAACAGCAGCAATTTGTTCTTAATTTATTTTGATAAGTAATAGTACTCCCTAATAGTAGCCAGTACTTTGAATCTTTATGCATTCAAAGCATTTCGGAAATTTTATTATACATGTTCAATGTAATATCCTGTTGTAGTGAGAAAGAAATACCTGCATTTTTTTTTTAAGTTGTGGACTAGAATGGAAAAACTGTGAGTTTGTACGAGAGGGGCTGGACCTATTTTCTTTCTAGCTTGACTTTTATGGAACATTTTTCTGTTTTGGGCTTCCCATCTTTACTTTATGTGTCCAGGGAAAGTAATGGCCTCAAGGGATCAAGAATCTGCTCAGCATTCGTTTTCAATTAGAATTCAGACTGTTAGGATTCATGTTGAGTATCACAGGACTCATTTGATAAGTTAGAAAAAGAACACAGAAATTAAAAAGAAAGAAGGAATTTATGTAGGTAAAAATTGAATTTAATGAGTTACAAAACAGCAGAAAGAGAATTAAACCCTAGAAGCTAAATGATCAAGAAAAACAGAGAAGGCACTAACACACAATATGAAAAATAAGTCCCTCTACTGGTGTATTAAAACACGTGAGATGATTTGTACATAAGGTAATTTGTTGTGACATTGCTTTTAATAGTAAAGGATTGGGAACAACCAAAGTGTCCATCAAGAGGGGTCTGATTAAATAAATAATGGAACATCCACGTAGTAGCTGTGTATAAAGCTGTGCAACTATAAAAAATATATATGAGGGGGACCCTAAAAAACCTGAATTATCTTCTGGAGGGTAGACCCCTTGCAATACAGGCTTCCCCTGCTAGGTGAGTGTTCTGGAAACCCATCTGTATCAGTGTCCCAGCTGGTGGTGGTGTGTGAGGCTGTGTTGGGCTTTGGTGAAGGTTTTTAAAGACTCTTTCAATGTGTTTTTGACAAAAAACTGCATGAACCCTATTCCCCCGCCTCCTGCCCCCCACCTCCATTCACCCAGTCTCGCTCTGGAACAACTTTTTTCTGTTTCCCTGGGTGAAAAAAGTCCTCAAAGGGAAACCTTTTGCTGATGTGGAAGAGTTGAAACAAAGAAAAAAAAACAAAAACGGCAGAAACACTAAAAGGCATCAAAATTGATACATTCAGAAACTGTTTTGAGCAGTGGAAAAAAGTCTTGATGGGTGTATTGCATCATAGTGGAGAGCACTTGGAAGGTGACTGAAATTTAAACATGTAAGAATAGATACAGAATTTTTTATAAATAAATTCTGGGTTTTTTGGGTCCCCTTTCATATATAAAATATATATAGGGTATGGTGAGGGGGTGTTTTTCACTGCCACTGTATAGTTTTTGATAGAATACTTTACCTATTTAAACAATTAAATAAAATATGTATGTTTAAAGCTTTTATTTAACTGATAAAAAATCTTTGAGGAGTTATTTTGGTTAACGAAAAAAACCCATTGATTCTTTTTTTTTCCAGCAATACTTAACTATACGGCAAGGCATCGTTAGAAATAAAGAGATCACATATGGTTATTGCCTTCCAGTTGTGAAAAATATAGTCAGGGAGAAGGTACAAATGTAATACAACCAAATACAACAAAAATGCAAAAGCAGTGCAATGGATGTAGAAGGAAGAGAATGTGAGAAAACCCTGCTAAGGAGGAATGACTTGAATGGGACATTGAGGGACCCGAAGGACTTTAGTAGCCAGTGATAGGGAAAGTGGTGGGCAAACCGGAAGAAGAGGAATCCTTTGGGCGGAGGGAGATGCACACATGAAGTCTGGTAGGCTGGAAAGTGCATGGCTTAATTTGAGAATGGGGTAGGGTAGCCATTTCTGCATAGCTGGAGTGTAAGCTATGTTTGCATGTGCAAGGACCAACTTGTACTGATGTAAGACTATTTAGTCTTTTTAGCGGAAGATTGCAAATATATACAAAAGTAGACAGGATAGACTAATGCAGCACATGAGCTTCAGCAATTACCAGCTAATCTTGTTTCATATATACCCTTTTCCTGCCATATTTTGAAAGAGATCCCAGATATCATTTCTTCTATAAATATTTCAGTATGTAGCTCTAAAAGAAATGGGCTGTTTTTTGTTTTTTAAACCACTTTGATTATAAATTTGTATCAGATTCATGAATATCATAAATAGTTTATTTTTTAGTAGTTTTGGATTTGTTTATATCAAGGTCCAAATAAGGTCTACACATTGCAATTGATTGATATTTCTTTTAAGTCTCTTAAGTTTCCCCTCCATCATTTTTTCTCTTGTAATTTATCTGTTGAAGGAATCAAGTTGATTGTCATAGAGCATTTCCAACTTTTAAGAATTTGCAGATTACATCTGCATGGCCTGGTTTTATATGTTTCTCTGCCGTTTGCATGTCTTGTAAATTGGTCATCAGATCTAGGGGTTCAACCAGATTAGGTTAGCTTTTGTTTGTTTTGTTTTTAACTTTATAGGTAGCATTGTGACTTCCCATCAGAGACACATAATGTCTGGGTATTGCTCTTTTTCTGATTTAGCAGCTACTACTGGTCAATGTCTTCATCTCAGTCACTCTTTACTGAGTAAAAAGAATAATTTGGTGCATACCCTCTGGGTACCATGACATCTCCATTTCACCTTCCATCCCTTATGAATATCCTGGGCAATAGAGAATTTTTAAAGGTACATATAAGAATAACTGGTTTCAAGTGACCTTTCCAAACCAGTATCAAGTAGGTATAAAATGTTTTGTTGGATGAAAACCAAGTTTATCTCTTGTTTTAATGTATTTTTCACAGCCTTGATTATTTGTGTTTTACATTTCATTAGATTGTTCTTCCGATGCATTAGAAGTAAGAACGAGAGGAAGCAATGGTGTGGGTATATCCCCTGGCAGGTAGGAGTTACTCACCTGTTTTCAAACGTGCTGTGTTAAGACTGTTTCATCTGTGGCGTCACCTGAATAGACCGTGAAGTACAATATAAACTAGTTGGCCATCATACTGTCTCTGAAAGGCCGTTCTTTTCTTTAAGGAGGGTAGACCCTTTGGGGACCTTTAATTCAAAGGACTACTTGGTTATATTCAAGATTTATTTATCTGTCTCCTATTTCGTTTACCTAAGTATTTCCTGAGGCCTTAAATGTAGTCAGTATTCTCCTAATTAGGAGACTAACTTCAGCATCTTTTTATAGAGTGTTATCTCCTTAATATTGGTACAAGCTGAGGATAATTTATAAGCTCCTAGAGTATGAAAACTGGGAGAGATCCTACAAATATCCATTACATGAGAAACTAGACCTAGGGGGTGACGAGACTTGTTTAAGTGGAGGGTTAGCTTGAACTTAAGATTCTAGATTCCTGCAGTGAAAGCTTCCTAAAGCCAAATCAAGTAAGCATAGGGCCTTATTTCAGTTTGGGGAAAAGTCCCTCTTGAGAGAACAGTTTTTCATGAAAAGTATACATTGTGGTGTTGCCGTTGGAAAGGCACTCTGATTTCCTCATTACATTTCATTGAGGCCTGGAAAGGCAGTGCTCATGGACAGAGAAGGAACCGAGTGTTGAAATCACTGTTAAGAAACAAATGCTTCATGAGTTTGGCTTGTACTCTTTTCTAGAAGCAGAGATGGTCCCAGGCATGTTCAGAAATGTTGGACTGTTTGCATTTCCCCTGAAAAAAGGCATTCTAGATGTCAAGTTTCCATTAATGTACTAAAATTGTGTTCTTTGTCCTGTAGGAACCTGATTCCAAAGAGCGTTCTGTAACCAGCAAGTCTCAGCGTGCATCTGAGCCATTTCATTATCCTTCCATCCAGCAGAGAAACCCGTTCAAGGTACTTGACAAGAATCAAGAACCACAGCTCTGGAAACAGTTCATCAAAGGTGAAGAGAAGGACAAGATGGCTGACAAGAAGCAAAGGGAAAAGGGAGACCTGCTCTTGGATCAAAAGAAGGAACAGAGGCCTGAACCTAACTGCCGGATGGAGAAAGATCTCTCACCTGGCCTGGTGGTAGAGGAAAAATCTGCAGGTCAAGAGCAGCCACGAGGGGAGAAAACAGACCTTCGGTATGAAGCAAAGGAGATTGAAGGGACGCACAAAAGAAACCCTTCTGAAATTAAATCCAAACAGTGCCATGGTAATGAGGTGAGAAAACCTGCATCTGCTCAGGAGAAACCAAAGGGTGAGAATTATGTTCAAAGAGAATCAGAACCTCTGAGAGAAAAGGAAACCAAGCCTTTACCTCAAATTCCTCACAGCCAAAACCCAATGAACAAGCCCCTGGAAGGGGAACACCTCAACAAAGAATGGCCCAAGAGCCAGGAGGCCAGAGAGACAAAGGCAAAGGATGACCGGAGCATGCAGACCACTCAGAAGACGCTGCTCCAGGGCCATCTCCAGGCTCAGCCACAGGCCTGTCAAGCACCTGCTCCAAAAGGACCAGCGACCCAGACCGTGCCACTGGCTGCAGGGCCTCCCCTGGGAGGGCGGCGAGAAGCAGACACAGGCAGCAGTGACAGTGAGGAAGATGATGTTGTTTTTGTTTCTTCTGAGCCAGGGAGCCCCTTACTTTTAGACATGACCCTGGACTCACAGAAGAAGGAGAACCTTCAATTCCCTGGTCAAACTGTGCAAAAAAGAAAGTCTCCTGCCTCAGGTGTTTCCAGAAAGATAGAACCTACAGACTCAGCAGCCCAACGTGTGCACCTTATGACGCAACTGAAACAAAAGAAGGTAACTGCTGACTTGTGCTTTGGTTTAAAGGTCAGAGCTCTGCTTACTACGGGCACCTGGGGACTGCACAAACAAGTTAAAGATGTTAATGTGAGCAAAGTTTTATTGGTGGGCGTTTATTTCTGCCTTTTCTTTAGTCAGCTAGGGTTTTTTTCTTTTGTTTTTTTTTAAGTTTTGGTTTTCACACGTAGTTAAAGGACTATAATTTTAGAGTTTGAGCACTTTAGGTATTTTAATCTGAAACATTATATTTCTAACAACTTGAGAGGGAGTGATTCATTTTATTGGACCTGTTTTTCAGAGCACACTGGCATCGGTGAATGTTCAGGTGCTTCCAGACAAAGGTCAGAAGTTGCTCAAGCAGATCCAGGAGTTGGAGGAAGCACTCGGTGCTCTCGCCCTCTCCCCAGAGCAAGGTAACATGGGTTATGCCCCAGAACCTGAGGTTGGCATGAGCTTCACAAGAGACAGTCAAGAAGCCATCTTCATAAAGAACGTTGATTCATTCATCTTCCCATTTTGTTATCTGCTTCTGACCTTCCTTTTACATCTGTAATTTATAAAAGAGTTCTATTTCCTGTGGACTCAATGGTCTTTCCTGTTGTTTTTTGTACCTGTTTAAATGCTACACTCTCTAGGAAACTTTCCCTAACTTGTTGCAATAGTGGTCATCCCACTCTCCCTTGCCCTCGCGTTCCACATAGAATTCCTTTCCTTTTCTGAACTTGAACCTGTTCTTCCCATGTTTCTGAACAGGCACGGATGCAAAGAGTAACACTCAAGCACCTCAACAGAGTAACTTCACCAAAACTGCCCATGACCCTCCCCATTTGGTGCCAGCCAAGCCCCTGCAGGGTCAGGACCTGCAGCCTCCGGGGTCTCTGGGACTGAAGGCTGCCTGCCAGGGAGCTGCTGGGCCGCACAATCAGTGCTGTGGGGGTAAGGTGCAGGGGCCTGGCCCCGTGGGGAAGAGCTGCGCCTATGGGGGCAGCTTCTGACGAGTAGATGTCTTTGTGCCCGTGCGATGGCAAACGCCATTCCTGAGTTGCAAGAAAGATTGCAATCCCCAGCCAAGCTTTGCACGGTGCTATTTAGATCTCTGTGAGGGCAGACCCTATGTCCGCCTTGTTCACTGACCTTCATCAGTCAGCCCAGTGGCCAGCACATAGGAGTCGCCTAGTAAGTGTGGATGAAAACTTGAACTCACGTCATGATGAAGCAGGTAGACCAGCAGATACGCTTGTATCCCCTCTGCGTGTGCATTAAGGCAGAGCAGAGGAATGACGTGACTAAAGACTGATAGCCAATAGACCCACCAAGAGCAGTAACCCCCTGCGTAGCTAATGTTTCCATCCTGAACTTTCCGGAAAACGATGAATTCAGAAGTAACTGCAGAATGAAAATCCCAAGTGGAGCCTCAGATATAAAATAGGATCACCTGGAGTGCTGACCCCGAGACAGGAGCTCAGGGAGGCTGGCAGTGGCCAGCAAAGCGAGAGCCGGCTTTCTCTCAGAGGAGAACTGCTAGAGACGAAGGAAGGGACCTGGAGAGAAGAAAGCAAATGGGGTGGAAAGGAAGATGGGGAGAAAGTCGAAGAGCCGCAGTTCTTAAGTGGGTATCGACTCCGTGCCAGATGAAGCTAAGGTCAGTCAAAAAAGGGACAGAGAGAACGTACTTGTTACAGTAGCGTAGGAGTCGTGGCCGCGCAGGAGTCGTGGCCGCGCAGGGCTGCTCTGGGAGAGTTCCTGTGTCACAGCAGCGTCCCGTGCTCGCCATGGTGCCCAGGCACCTCGAGGAAGATTAAATCATGTTAGATTGTTAAGGACAGAAAGTACGTACTATGTTTTGGAAAAAATTCCATTAAAGTAGTTTTCCTTTTGACAACATTTTAACATTTAAAGGGTTTAATGTTTATTGGTCTAGAAACCTTTTATTTGAATACTTCATTCCTAAAATTGCAACCAGCTGAAGTGCCTGCATTTGTTAACAAACTTCACCAGAAGCTCCCGAGAAGGAGCGGGCCGCTGGCATGACGTGTGTCCCCCCGAAGGCAGTCAGCTCGTGCCGCGCCCCCAGGGCGGCCTCTGTCTGCCTGACCTCAGCTTGCGTGGCCTTTTCTGTTGCTGATGCCTCTCTGTGCCCAGCCCAAGGGACCTTTTCTTTTTAAAATACTGATAGTGTTCTTTTTCTCTGCCACTTCAAAGCTGGAGAAAAATCTAACAGTATGACAGGTTATCTTATGTTTTTATTTTACTTTCTATTATTTTATCCTTTATTATGTGATTAAAAAAAAAACAAAAACAAAACAAAGAAAACATACACCAGAATGGGGATAGAGGAGCCTGTGGGGCTGGGAGAATCTGGAGGCAAGAGTTTTTAGCCCAATATTGTGTGTCAGCTATAATTAAAAATAAACTTTAAAAAATTTTTAGTCCATTCAGCTCCATCATTTGACAAGTGACAACGTGCCTTTTTGCAGCTATAGCCAGGACATGGTATTCGTGACACCTTTAGGTAACACCTCTCTCTGTATACAGGCCCTATGAAACAGGATCGCCTTCTCTCTGTGTGGAAAGTCACAAGTGAAGCCATTGACGAGCTGCATCGATCACTTGAGTCATGTCCTGGCGAGACAGCTGTGGCAGAGGATCCAGCTGGATTGAAGGTGAGCTAGGACATGTCCTCTGACCATGTCCCAGTGCCCATGAAGAGGGTGGCCACTGCGAGACAGCTCAGCACAGTGTCATTCTGATGTGTTACCTACAGATAATGGTTTAGTGGCTTCTCTTGCACTATTTTTTCCTTTTCAGTTTAGCAGTGAGAAATAAAAAGCACTTCTTTCTTATAGTTATACAATTGACCTTGAACTATGTGGATCCACTTATACTTAAAATCTGCATTTAAAGGGACCCAGACAGTTCAGATCTGCATTGTTTAAGAGTCCACTGTATTTTTGCTATGTGGTTGGGAATTCATATGTGGAGGGCTGATTATAAGTTATATGTGGGTTTTGATTGCATGGGCATTGGTGCTCCCAAACCCGACATTGTTCAAGGGTCAGCTCTCCATGTCTGTACCAGTAATGGATCTGTTAATGACCTTCAGTAGGAGCCAAAAGGATACAAAGGAATTGCTCCTCTTAACGGGTTTGGGTGAAAGTACATGTACAACATACATAAAACAATTAGAAAATGACTTGAAGACAGTGCATTGTAAGTCACTGTAGACTGTATACAGAGTGCAAAAGGGATTCGAAATAAAGGCAAAGTCACTCTAAGTCAATAATTACTTGTTGCCTGCCCACTTTGTGCCTTGAAGCTGCAGGCCTAGACATAGCTGGGAGGACTCTGCAGTTGGAGGGCATGGTGGCTGGAGGGAAGGGACAGAGATTGGTAGGAATAAGCGGTGACAGGGCGACATCAGTACCTGAGCTGGGAGCAGCAGGCGAGCTACTGAACAGGGAGGCTCGCTGGCTGCGGAGCCTGGCGCCGGTGAGGGAACTTAGATCACACTAGCTCAGAGACAGGGATTCCCTGTAGAATTTGGAGCAAGGGTGTTTTATGAAGATTACTTTTGTCATGGAGTACAAGATAAGTCGGAGTAAGGAAGGACCAGGGGCGGGTACCAGTTAAAGGACTGCCGAAAATTACCGCTAACAATGCAGTCTGGGATGTTGGCTACAGAGAGGAGAGTGACATTTAAGAGATAATAAGAGAAAACCAACCGACTGGCTGGTGAAAGCAGGCTGACCAGTCAGAGGCGTTGGCTGCAAGCAGTAGAACGTGACTTTGGCTGATGAAGCAGACAAACCAGGACTCTCACTGAAGGTTAGAGAGGGGGTCTTGGTAGACATGCTGGACAACAGATGTCAATCACACTTTTGGGTGGACCAGGGCATATGATTACCCCAGGTGACAGGATGGAGTCAAGGACTTCAAGATGAAAAAAGCTGCTTATGTGACATCTAGAATAGTAGGAGGATTACTTACAGAAAAGAAAAGAGTAGAATGTGGCATCCACGCAGGCACGATCCAGGAGAGCCTCTCATGAGGAGTTTATACTTGACTTTTGGCCATTACTTTTGTCAGGTCCCTTTGCTACTGCACCAGAAGCAGGCATTAGCCTGGTTACTATGGCGAGAAAGTCAGAAGCCACAAGGAGGAATTCTGGGTAAGTCTGGTATCATGGAAAGAGCCGACAAGTACACTGTTGTATTGTTTCATTTGGCCCCCTCCGCAGCTCTGTGGGGTTGCTGCCCTCTTTGACAGATGAGGAGACTGAGGGTAAGAATGCTTAAGCAACATGCTCAGAGCCCTCAGCCGCAGGACCAGCCAGGTCTTGGTCACGGGCAGTGGAAGCCGACTCTGGCCGATTAAGCGGAGGCAGAGTTCATTCTGCATGGCCCACAGAATCTCCGGGGGATGCGGAGAGCCAGCCAGGCTGGAGACCAGACTTCTAGGAGCAGTGGCCAGAGCTAAGTAACAGCCAGGGTCTCGTGGAAACCATCACCGCTGCTTTGCTCCATCAGGTCCTGCTGCCCCAGAATCACGCCCTTCCGTGTCCACCCCTTCCTGCAGAAAGGATTTCCTAGGGAGACTCTCTTCTCAAGTTGCTTACACCTGAATCAAAGTTTGTGTGTGTGTGTGTGTGTGTGTGTGTGTGTGTGTGTGTGTGTGTGGTGTGTGGAGCCCGGGTCATGTGGCCAGTGCCTTGGCCGCAGGGGAGCCTGGGGGGCATGGGTTTCAGGCTCTGCACTGGGGGCTCGTCACACTAAAATTCTCCCAGGTGCTCAATTTCTGGAAAACATGGCAAATGCCCACGACGGATGCATAGCAAATAGTCATGCTCATGGCTATAATGTATTCCAAAATAAGAGTAATAATACAATAGTTTTCATTTGATAAAAATCAAATTCAACAAAGGGAGAAGGCACATGGGGTAAAGCCCAGGGGAAGCGCAGGGACAGGCTTCCCAAGGCCTTTCCTGGGGGAGACACACAGGGCAAAGTTAATTCTCCCTGCAGTGAGAAGTGACAACACACGTGAAATGTTGCTAGCCAGGGAGGCGTGTTAGAGATTCAGGGCACAAGGTTTTTACAGAGAGCTTGTGGCTTAGGCAGCTTCAGCCTGGGATGTCTGTAAATTCCATACTCCCAAGGAAAGCAGGCGCTCAGCATAAACCGTGTTTGTAAGTGAGCCACTCTTGTCACTTCCAATTCCCAGACGCCAGCCAAGGGCCAACCTCGGAAGCAGGGATTTCAGTGGATAGCTGTGTTCCCTCTTCTTCTGCCCAGCAGCAGGGCCAGAATTTGAACCAAAATTCATGCTGAGACATTACACTTCTGCTTATGTCAGAATGATTATTTAAACTGTTGAAACGGGGACAATATTTTACAGGGTATACGTAGTAAATTAGATAAGTTCAGCGACTGGCACGATGGCAGTCCTAAAGGACTGTTAATTTAGGCCTCTCTGATGAGTAAGTTAAAGGGATGGAGGACTGCTTTGAGTTAACCATAACTCCAGGAATGTGGAAGCCCCGGTAACATAGGTAGTAGGATATATTTCTTTTCTTGAAGCTGAGTTGATTCTTTGCCCTAAGTAATTACCTCTCCTATTTTTACTCTTCTTTTCCAGCGGATGATATGGGATTAGGAAAAACCCTCACAATGATTGCACTCATCCTGACCCAGAAGAATCAAGAGGAAAGCAAAGAAAAGGACAAAAACGTAGCCTTGACTTGGCTTTCCAAAGATGGTATTCAAGTGCCTTCATAAACTGCCATTTTCTACATCATTTGAGCCAGTGGAGAACAGAAACTTTTAAGCTAAAGAAGCACGTCTTTAGTCATATTTAATTAATTTATTGGAAATACAGTGTTAGACTACTTTCCTGTGGTATCATTTCTGATGCCAAATATCCTATTTAAGTGATCATTTTTCTTTTTTAGTATCCACTTACCTTGACCTATGGGTAGAAAAATTTTATGGAGAAAGCTAAGGCTCTAGAAAACTTAGTCTAAACATGATTATTTTTGTTAACATTGAGGATGTACCTATAGGATAGATCCAAAGTAGTTAGTGTATTATTTTTTTTAAGGAGCATCTGTCACAAATTCAGACTTGAGCCACAGGGGCAGAAGCTATTTTCTATGTTTCTGAAATTCCAGAAGTTTCCAGATGCTAGACAATTTCTATTTATTTTTCAACCTCTGTTTTTAGCATATCATGACTATATAAGTACTTTAAAAGTCCTGTATATTATTTATAGATATCTCCACAAGGAGGTTGCCGTGTACACAAGTGCATTTCTCAGTTGGTTAGATGGTTAAAAAACCCGTGACTGGCAGCTCTCGGGGCCACCGGGGGCCACTGCTGTAGCTGGGTCCAGTGTCCTGTGGGCAGTGGCGGCATGTGTGTGTGCGCAAATAGCACTTGTGCACACGTGTGTGTACATATACATACACACACAGGGATGAGGGGCAGTGGTACAGATACCCCATCGCTAACTGGCTCCAAAGTGATGCTTGCTCATCTGAGAGGGTTTTGTTCTTCTGTTTTAATGTAAATGTAAGGAAGTGACGCTCTTCAGGAAAAAATAATAATACTCCCCCATAAAGTCTGGGATGAGTTAGGATCTGATCCAGCTTCTGCCTTCCGGCCACTGAAAGCGCACTGCTCTTTATTTTAGACTGAGGTCATGTACTGCCTCCTTTCGTCTCCCTTTTAAGACTCTCTCTCTCTCTCTCTCTCTCTCTCTCTGACACCTTTATAGGGGAAAATATGAAATAATTAAGCATTTTGAGTTAAGAGGCCACCTCTTCCATTTCCTATTCTACTATAAGCTATGCGTAGAAATAAGAGCAGCAGCTGTCAAAAATATTAATTGAAGGAATAAAGTCAGTTGAGAGAAAGGTAATGCCTCTAAGAAGTTAAAGGCTATTTCACGGGTGTAATGAGCTGTTGATTTTCTCCCCCTCTCGAGGCTCCACTGAGATTATTTCCCATGGAACACTTATCATCTGTCCTGCTTCCCTGATCCATCACTGGAAAAAGGAGGTGGAGAAACGTGTGAGCAACAACAAACTAAGAGTCTGTCTCTATCATGGGCCAAACCGGGACCAACATGCAACAGTGTAAGTGCAGAAATGTTCCAGTCACTAGGAAGGGCTCAGTGTCTTGGCATAAGAGATCGTATTGACCGTACCTGCTTTCCCTGAGGTTTCGTTTAATCAGCACTCTCCTCACCAAACAGCCTTCACCCGTATTAAGAGAGACCTCTTGAGAGAAAATGGAGTTCTTTTGCTACGTGCTTGATGCTGTCCACAACAAAAAGCCACCGCATGAGCAGACATGAGACGGCCGAGTTGTCCGCCGGGCAGCGTTCCCTGGCAGAAGAGGCTGTGTCACAGTTATTTCCTGACTTTGAATTTCTGACTCCAGATTCACGTTCTTCTTCTGTCAGTGTGACTGGCCGTTGCCCAGTCTTACAGAGCCCCTTGATATGACACCGGTGATTAGTTGATAGAGGCTGATTTTATTTTTACGGCTGTATTTTTCATATATGAATGATCTAAGAAGTTTAAGATTCAGGAGTTCAGGATTAGACGTCACTGAATTCTTGAGAAGGAATGATCAGGAAGGAGGAAAGAAATTGTTTCCTCGGCTGTTAATTTGAGTCCTAGTCTTTGCTTTTCGGTTTTGAAGAAATTGTCTTTTTGTTCCTCATTGTGGCATGAGGGTCTGGGCGGAATACTTGCTGAGCTAATAGTTAGGAGCAAAGTTGTTCCTGCTCCTCTCGCCATCCTCTGACGGTTGGGTATTTTACCTCCTAAAGAAGAGGGAGGTAAGTCTTTCAGGGGGGAATGGCCAGATTGGTGGCCCTCACCACGCCAGCTCTCGTGACTGGGAGTCCCTTCAGCAGACTGAGGGTATGGGGCAGCCTGCACGCTTCTCTGGCAGAAGTGGCCTGCCTCTGTTCTAAATTTCTGTTTAGAAGTAAATTGCATCTCACTGGATTTTCACTTTGATTATAGCTGGTATTCAGAGTATACTAGTTGACTGATTGGAATCATTCTCACACTTTATATGATCCTAAGGCCACATGTAGTCATTGCTGCCTGTCTGAATTAGGCATATCATTTTTATGAAAAGTGTTGGTGGAAGTTCTCTCAGGTGCACAGTATCAAGCTTCTTTGGAAAAAGATTTATTCCTTTTATGAAGAATCTCTGCATATAAAGAGTGTAAGCAAGGTAAACTGAAAGTTTACAGCATGATTCTACCCAAATGTCAAAGTTAGATCATGGGTTTTTACCAATGCATTAGAACAAAGAGGAGAAAGCATCAATGGTGAAAGGCAAACTGCTCTGAGAGTCTCTTACTTACTTGGGACTTAAGCATCATCTATGTCAAATCATTACTAAATGTTAGTTCCCAACTCTTCCCTGCATTCTGTACCGGCCAGATATTATCAAGGTTAAGTCAAGCCCAGCTGATTTTCCTTTATGACTCACTGGAAGGGAGGCTGTCCTAGTTGTAGTGAGTAGACTGTAAAAATGATCAGTGGTAAGGGGAAAGGAAGCCAAGTGAGTCAAGTTTACTCACCAGAATAGCATGTGTGGATGAAGGAATAAATGAATGAATTCTGCCATCTGTCCTTCAGCTGTACGCATTTTCATAAAGAGATCAATTCTGCCTCTTGTCATTCACAGAGAGATCATTTACCATTTGCTTTGTGTTATGTCTGTGCAGCCTCTCTACATATGACATCGTCATCACCACCTATAGCCTTCTGGCCAAGGAGATCCCCACAAAGAAGCAAGAGGGAGAGGTCCCAGGCACAAACCTCAGTACGGAGGTGAGGCTGGCGGCTGCCAGGGAAGTGGAGATGGAGCCTCTGCTGCTTTACCTCGAGTCTTGTCACAGCATCAGAGGTGGCAGCAGCACCCTCCTCTGAGGACAGGAATGTCCTAGTCAGTCCTCCTGTGGACATGAAGCACTCTCTGTCCCTCCTTTATTCTAGACCCCTTCTCGCTGATAAAGAGGGAGGTTTGGCACAGTATTTAGCTGTTTTTTAAAAAAAAATTATTTTTTTTTAGATTTTATTTATTTACTTTTTAGAGAGAGGGGAAGTGAGGGAGAGAACCATCAATGTGTGAGATACATTGGTTGCCTCTTGCAGGCCCCCAGCTGCAGACCTGGCCTACAATCCAGGCATGTGCCCTGACTGAGAAGTGAACCAGCAACCTTTTCAGTTTGCAGGCGGGTGCTCAATCCACTGAGCCACACCAACCAGGGCTTTGCCTTTTTTTTTTTTTTTTTCTTTTAAGAACTAATAACTACATTGCAATTGTGGTCACCACATGATTATAAGAAAACCTCACTTTGTTGCAATTTTTATTTTGGAGCCTATGGGGTATACTCAGGATATGTTTTATATTTAGTGTGAAGACTAGTATTTTAATACTGGTATTTTGGTATCAGTCCTCTCTCCACCTCTCAGGAGAAGGGGCTGAAATTATAAGGCTACAAATGAAAACCAAGGGAAGACCCCAGATGTCTGCCTGTGCACCCTGAGAGGCTCAGCTGTCTGGGGCAGAGGCTGGATCACATACGTTGATGATGGGCTTTTTTTGTTCTCATGAAAATAGAGTGTTGTTCTAGGAATTCACCTTTAACATATGTTTTCATAATAGAATATTCGCAGATTACTTTATTTGGGGAGATCTCTAGAATGGAGACGTCTTATGACAAACTCCAACTTTTTGCAGATGATTAACTGTAGGTCCCTCAGTGGTTCCTCATTGCTTTCAGGATAACATTTTTACATAATATATTAGGCTCTTTATGACCTTGTCCTGCTTGCATGTCCCTCTTCATCTTCACGCAGCCTACCCTGTGGCACCTCTTGCTCCGCTGTACCGAGGGATGTGCGCTGCTCTGCCATCTGCTGTTGTGATTTGTGCCTCTGTTCTCCCTCTAAATGGAATGCTTTGCCTCCTCGTTTGGGTAAATGCATCTCCCATGCTTGCTTATGGCACAGCACTCCATTTATTCAGCAGATATTGAGCTGCTGTTTCAGATGTCGGGTACGGCAGTGAACAAGACTGGATTCCTGCGGTCTGTACTGAATTATCCAATTACAGCATATATGCTCTGTTGTAGTTGTCTTGATGCTTGCTTTTCTCTCCTGCTGTTGGACTGTGAGCTTTTTGAGGGTAGGAGCTGCCCTTTTGTCTGGCCTAGTATCTTACATATATAAGTAGACTTCCAATAAATTTGTGGTGAATTTTTTGTAAACTTTGTAAATATTTTATTGAATGAGTGAATTTGCAGGCTCAGTGCCTAGTGTAGTCCCAACCCATAGCCACTGTTCAAACGTAGGTTGAAAGCATAGATGAGAACTCAAATCAGAAAACATTTTATTATTAAGCATCTTAAGCTCAAGGATTGGGGCTCTCAAGTGACTTGTTTATTTGCACCCATTGAGAGTTTCCACTCTTGGTTTCTTAGGCTCAGTGCTTATTTCAGTATACCCTCAAACCTGGGGATAAGAGTGGGTCCTCAGTGCTTGTTTGTTATTTCCCCTTATCCTCTTGAGACATACACATTTTCCCATAGTGCTGTTGGGTTTCACTGGTGTTCCTTCCAGGGTATCTCAACACCGCTGCTTCGCATAGTCTGGGCGCGAGTCATCCTGGATGAAGCTCACAACGTGAAGAACCCCCGAGTGCAGACTTCCATCGCCGTGTGTAAGCTGCAGGCCCGTGCCCGTTGGGCTGTCACTGGGACCCCCATCCAGAACAACCTGTTGGACATGTATTCACTGCTGAAGTGGGTAAACTTTGGGATTGTGTAAATGTGCACCTTGTCATTAATGCTTCATAATCATTTCATGTGTCATGATAAAGCTGCGGCGTGTGCCAGCTTATCTCCCGAAGCAGACGGCAAGCCTGTCGACCTTTAAAGGGCAAAAGAATGAATATTTATGAGAAAAATAATCTGTTGATTGACTGGCTGATAGAGGACTTTGATTACACTCAGCCACTATATATGGAAAAAATATAGGACAGATTAAATTAAAGGAAACAATTAAATTAAAGTCATCTTTCTTCAGTACAGTGGATGTTTTTTGGCTGTTTCTTTAAAGCATATGACCAGGGGTCAGGACCATAATTTATTTGAAGCAAACAGAAAAGAATTCTGATTTAAAAATACTTGCTTTTATTAAAGTCAGCCTGTAAGAGGATATGGAATTTCTTCGCTAGCCTTTGAAGCTTTAGGAATAAATCCTAGCTATTGGTTATATGTTCTGTCGTGATGACACAGACATTGTTAATGGGAAAATTCACATTTTTATAATGTAGTTTTTGTTACTGACCTGGATCCTTTTGATCTGGTTAGCAGAGCTTTGTTATGAAATTCACTTTTTAAAATGATGGGATGACAGATGTGACAGAAAATCTGATTTGTTTTTCATCTGACGTCTTCCTTTGAACCTTTACTCCATCCTCCCACACTTCTCCTTTCCTACTCTCTGTCCTTCCTCCCCAACAAAAAAGATTTCTCCGTTGTTCTCCATTTGATGATTTCAATCTGTGGAAGAGCCAGGTTGACAATGGTTCAAAGAAAGGAGGTGAAAGGTTAAGTATTTTAATCAAGAGCCTTTTGCTACGGAGAACAAAAGACCAGCTGGACTCCACCGGCAAGCCCTTGGTAATCACATTTATGTGTGTCAATGGGGGAGGCGGGGAGGGATGGTGACCATGTCCTTGTCTTGGGTTCAGTAGCCATCTGCTATGCTTGAGGAGCCCCTGAGTCTCCCACTTCTCTGTGGAGGCCCCGGGGTTGCTGTGCCGTGCCTTGCGTCACTGCAGTCCTGTTGTGCTGAGTGTACGGCAGCCTCCTCTTTAGGGAAGGATGGAAGCGGCTTTCTAGGCTTGACTAGATTTCCAGTGTCAGTTCTGGGACTTAACTCTGTGCTATTCAGTTAATTTGCGTAACTTCATCCCAGATGCTTTTTCTCCTTTACTTTTCCAAGGTGATGCTGCCCCAGCGGAAATTTCAGTTGCACCATTTAAAGCTTTCTGAAGATGAAGAGACTGTTTACAGTGTCCTTTTTGCAAGATCAAGGTGTGTGCCGTGCAGAAGCACCTTCTCACATGGACTGTTGTTTTTCAGTCCTGCTTGGCAATGAGTCCCGTTGTTTCCACACTGTGTTTATGACAGTATTGGTCGGGTGGACACCCGTGTTCCTGTTTTCATGCTCTCCCTTTCTTGCCCCTTGTGCCTGCACAGCTCACTTTGTCTCAGTCACACATTGAAGGCTTTTGCGCCTGTCCTTCACTGGCTTCCTCGCATAGACATGCAAGGGTGTGGTCACTGTGTGCCAGGTCATCGGGTCCTCACTGGCCCTATGGGGAAATGACATTTCTTTGATCTTTGGTGAATTACTCAGCATCTCCTTGGAACTTTAAAAAAAAACACAACAAAACCTGCTGTATAATCCTTGTCACCTGGTCTTGTACTTTCTCTAAAACTCTTGTTCCCCTGAAATCCAGATTTATTCTCCAAATACTTCTTGCTTCCAGCATGAATATGTTTTTTCTTTGTATACCTTATATTTATTAATATTCATAAATATAATTAATATACAAATTAATATCAATACATCAGTATTCTGCATATTAACGTTAAATATTACAGCATTTTGTATTAATATATCAACTATTTGTTATTCATTTTTAAATGGTTTGGTTTTTCATAGTTATCTTTTGATACCTTTTGACCAATGCTCGTTATAAGCCCGGGTCACTTAAGTTCATTTTTACAATTTTTTAAGGTCCTACCACAAGCACAATTAAGCAGTAACCATTGCAAACCTATTTGGTTGTAGCGAACGTTATATGTATGTGCATTTTCTTTTTGATCTGAGGCAGGTCAGCTCTACATTCCTATCTAAAAAGACAAGAAAGCGGGGGTAACCGATCTGGACGAAGCCCTGATAATCCATTCAGTGGAGGTAAGAAGTGGGACACTCATAGACACACATAACTAATGAAAATGTGCATTCAGAGTCATAAAAGCACCACAGTGGGAGGCTGTGAATTCTTGGTATCAGAGACTTGACCTCAGCTAGGAACCTCAAACTGAAGTGTAACAACATACTGATCCGTAAACGCCACTCCTGGTAACCTAAGCTTCTTTTTAAATCTCTTTCAAAATCTGCTCAGTTAAATACACCTAGGTTTAGAAAGAAAACCAGCATTTCAGCTGGCTTATTTGTTACAGAATAAGTTATAAAACAATGTCACTGAACCTCAGATCAAAGCAGTTCAAAATGGCACCATTTAGTTCTCGGTTCGCCCCCATATTCCTCTATTTTAGACCCTTACTGTTTACTGAGGTTTGTTTCTCTTCCTGCAGTACCTCAGGAGTTTGGGTCCAGCGGGCCTGGATGCCCCGTGGCCGCAGACTCACAGCCCTCCAGCACTGTCCACATATTGTCGCTGTTGCTGAGGCTCCGCCAGTGTTGCTGTCATCTTTCCTTGCTGAAGTCGGTAAGAAACGCCTTTCGCTTTGTACCCAGAGCCACTGCTGGGGACCCATTTCAGTCCTTCCCTCTAGGACCCAGTCTGCTGGATCAAGGAAAATGGGGTGTAGGGGTGTGTGGGGTTTGGGTCTTGGTGGGGCAGAAAAGAGGATACTCCTTATTTTACTTTGTTTTATATTAATCTTTATTGATCTTGGTAATTCCCATGGTGTTGAGAACAGTTTCTATTGTTTGTTTGGTTTTAAATAAGTTTTTTTTTTTTTTTTTTTTTTAAAGAATGGAAAGTGGCATTGTGTTAAAAAGGAAACTATGAATACTTTGGTATTTTAGGATGCTCATAAAGCTAATTTAGTTACTTTTTTTCCCCTGCCATCAGGCAGTATTAGGGCTTTTAAGTTTAATGTATGAAAACTCAATTATTTATACAATTGTAAAAGTTGCCTTTACATTGGAGAGAGACATCCATAATTAGGAGGGAGTATTTTATTCTTGTGAGGAGTTGTGGTAATGTGTCTTGATTATCAGTGGCTTAATTAACTGTACTGTCCTAGTCGGGGGAAAAGAATGATCATGTAATCTGTCTGGCATGTCACTAAGAAGTTCCATCACTTGATTTATCTTTAATCTGGTGAAAAAACTTGCACAATTGCATGTTAATCAGAGTTTCTCTGAGGAGATACTGATGATAAATTAGAAGACGTTTCACTGGGTGGAGTGTTAACGGTCAGCACGGCATTGAAAAGTCAGATGGCTCGCTGCCTCAGGGACCCACCTGTTCCTGCCGGCCCCCCCTCCCCGTCTGTCCCCTGCTTAGGCCCTGGACCCGACAGAACTGAAGAGCGAGGGCCTGCTCCTTTCCCTGGAGGAGCAGCTCGGTACTCTGACCTTGTCCGAGCCCCAGCCCTCAGAGCCGGCTTCCACCGTCTCCCTTAATGGCGAGTGCTTCAACACGGAGCTTTTTGAAGACACGAGAGAGAGCACCAAGGTACTGTCACCTCTGTTCTGGAGGAAGGGCTTGGACTCACATGTTTGGCCAGGAGGGTACAGCCATTTGATGGCAGAACTAGGATTGTTCGATGGTAGCTGGTCCAGTTCTCCCTTTACTCCTAAATTCTGATCTTATTTCACAAATAAAACTCAAGTTACATAGTGGCCTTTTGGGGAGTGATTCGGCTCAGGCATGAAGGCAGAATTTCTGCTGTGGGTCACTGGGAAAGGAGCCTATCAGGCTTATGGCAGCAACGGCCAAAGTGAGCGAGAGATCTGTTTCGGGCAAGCTTTAAAGGAGAACAACAAAGGCTGGACCCTGGGGGTGGTTTAATACATCTGGGTGCCAATTGCTTTGACTTGCTGAAAGCCTTCCATCTGCAAATGATGTTTCCTACCAGCCCTCTGTCTTCATTAGTCACTCTGTTCCACTTCCATTAAAGGTCCTTAGAGCTGAAGAGCCTGTTAGCAGAGGACCGAGATAATGCTGTAACTTGAGTCCTGCCTTTCATCTTAAACCCATTCCCAGCCTCCACCTCTTTCTTCAAAGGCTTTGTTTACAGATGTAACGAGAAAGGAGGTCACTGCCAAGGGAATGGTGTTACTCAGAATATGTTTAATTAAATTTTAAAAATATTTACCTAGGTCTTTACCAGTAATAACAGAGAAGCATAAGAAGAGCACCATATGTGGCCAGACTTTCTGTCCTGGTGCCTTCAAAGTTAGCTATTGGGTTAAAACTTATACTCCTAATAATTCACGTGCCTTGTCTAATACTCAGGTAATATTTATTCACAAGGATTTTTAGCATAAGCCCATTAATAGTTTATGCCACTTTAGGTTGTTTTATGAAGAGAAGGGAGTTTTCTTTGGTAATGTAAACCTAAGCTCATTCTGCTTAAGTAACATTCAAGCAGAATGTTACTGGAATTTGATCCCAGCACATGGACCATGAATCCTGCTCTCATGACAGTTTTCTCTGAATACCCATCACCATCTTTTTCATGTGGCAATCAGAGCACTTTCCAGAACCTTGAGTTGCCAAGATATTACACACTTCACGTACCTGGTTGCTTTCTTCCTACTAATTCAAATTGGGACAATACTGTGACTCGCTTGCCGCCCGGGCATCAGCATGTTTGTTGAGACTGAGAAGCGGTGGCCTGTGGGGGGAGTCTGCAGGTAGCCGCCGCCGTGACAGCAGAGTGTCGGGGCAGAGGGCGGGTCATCTGGCTCAGCCCCCTTTTCCTGATGAGGAACCTGAACTCTGAAGTGGGAGTTCCGAAGTGATACAGTCATGTGATGGTAGAGGAAGAACTTTGTTCATCCTCGGATTCTTAGTCTAATTTTCCTCCTCCTCCACCATTCTGAGAATGAACTCTAGGGCCCTTGAGAGGCTTTTGAAAGGCCGTTCACGTTAGCAGTCAGGAAGAATGAACTGAGCTGCTGTCCAAAGGCATGCCCATGTGTTCTCACTGACTGATCCCCTGTGGACTCGAATGTACCCTGAGGGGTTTTATAAATCTCCAGAAAGCTCGTTTGGAAGCTTTAGCAACTGTTCCTCGGTCTGGACACATCCTCTTCTTCAACAACATTTAGAGCGGAAATTCAACTAGATAAAGCTTTTTCACTTTCTCCTTCCACAAATGTTAGGATAGTTCCTTCTGTGATCTAATAATGTGCTAGGTGCAAGGTACACAGAAATGAACCGGATTCTGCCACCTTGGAGCTTCTCGAGTCATGAAAACAAGAGATGATTAAATAAGCAGCTAATACACAGTATGAAAAAGACCATGGTAATAGAAACAAAATGTGCCGCAGTAGCACGTAGGCAGTGGGCACCTAACCCATACTTGGGGGGCTAGGAAGGACTGTTACCAAACAAAAGGACCCGTGAGGGGGTGCCCAGATGCTATTACCGAAACGACACCCTCCTTCCCCAGGACCTCTCGGTTGTGGGTCCTTTGCCAGCCGCCCTTGGAATTATGGCTCTGAATGGCAGAGTTTGGTGAAAAGGAGAGGAACTATTTATTCAAAAGTTTTACAGGTTTGATGAATGGCTAAATGTCACCCTTAAACCTCGAAATCCCTTCAAAACAACCACCAGCACACACACCGTCCTGCCTTCCCCCCTTTGCCCAGTTAGGCCAGTCAGGCCAGTCAAGGGTACCGTCCTTCAGAAGAAAAAGAACAGAAGTCCGGGGCTCCGCTAGGCAGGCCTCTCGCGGGTCTCAGCACCATCCACTGCGTCGCCGCGATCTCCAGCTCTTAATCTATAACCATGTGGCACCTTCTCCTGGCCCACTAGCAAGAGTCCTTTCTCCCCTCTTTTCCTGCGTGGTCTTCACGCTGTTCCCCAGAGTCTGTGTCCCTCCATCTCTCCTGCAGGCCCCCGTCTCTCCTCTTTCTCCCCCAGTTACATTCTATATTAAGTCTTTGAAACCTTTCTGATTAGCTTTGGTGATATGCAAAATAACCCTCTTTGCATATGAGGAATGAAGCTATCCTGCTATTGACATACAAACTGTCTCTTAGTGCCCCCCCCAAGGCTCCCATCCCCCATGGCGGCCCGCCCTGGGGTGGGGAGAGTACATTTTTCTTGGACACCCCAATCTCTGGACCCTGTTACAGATACCCTTTGGGGGAGCTCTGGCTGTGCCCCGTTACAGGACCTCCAGGAAGAAGCGACATTAAGTTGACATGTAAGGGTGTTCTAGGCAGGGGGAACAGAATGGACAGAGATGAGACAAAGCATGGCTGGGGGAAGAAGAATTTTGGTATGACAGGAGTGTCGTTTGAGGAGGGCTTAGCGAGAGATGAATCTGGAGACGCAAGCAGAGGCCAGAGCTGCAAGGGCCGTTGTGAGGAGCATGGCTTTTATGCTCAGGGGGAGGCCACTCAAGGGGCTTTCGCCAGTGGAGAAAGTGACAAACTGATACTTTGGAAGTAGCTCTCCAGCTGCAGAGGGGAGAGTGGAGCAGAGGGGGTTGAGGCCAGAAGCGGAGAGACCATCCAGGGCACCGCTTCAGCCATCAGACGAGGGACAATGGAGGCAAGTGCTTAACCCTACGGCTGTGAATACCACCTTTTCCAGATTTCATCTCTGTTGGCAGAATTGGAGGCAATCCACCGAAATTCAGGGTCCCAAAAGAGGTAAATGTGTTAATTTCGTTATCCCAGTATTGCTTGTAAAATAATTAAAGAAAATCTGGTATTGCTGATAGTTATAAATCTTAGCTTTTTATATCAAGGACCTTGAATCATGCTCCGCAGAAAACACTGAGGTAAAAGACATGATTTCTGTGATTTCTAATTAAAATATTTGTGGCACTGATTTAAAAGGAAAGCCCTAGAGGCTCAGAGTGAGCTAAGCCTCGGAAGGAGTGTTTAAAAGTAGAGAAGTGCCCGAGAAAATCCAGGGAGTAACAGAAGCAAAAGACGGGAGAGCTGTGTGCGCAGACAGGGAGCCGCTGCAGAGCCGGGGGCATGGTACCAGGGGGTCCGTTTGTTGTTTGTTACCACTGACACGTGTGTTACACGTCTGCGTTTGTATATGGGAAATATTTTGATCTAAAATCTTAAAAGTCCAGTTAAACAGCATGGAGTGGTTGAATGAAGGGAGTAGAGAAGTCCTGGTAGCTTGTTCCTATGAAAGGGACCTGTGCCCCTTTCCTGCAGGGCCACGGCTCTTCCGCGTGAACACCAGACGCACGGGCAGCCGGAGGCCGCAGTGCTGCGTGTAGTCTAGTCCCCGCTTTATCCTGACTTCAGTTAGCACCAGACACATCATAGGCTGGATATGGAAACAACTGGGAGCACTATAATCTTTTTAAAAATGTTACAATTGATTTATTTATCTACATTATAATCTTAAAACATGACCTAAGTGTGTGCCTTTCCCCCTTGGGTAGCAGAAGGCCTTTCCTCATCCACATTTGACAACTGAATGCTAAGAATTATAGGGGCATCATAGCCCTGCAGACGAGTTGAATCTGTTTGGGGGGTTGGTAATTTGTTTATTCCTTCCTTCCAGTGTCATCGTCTCTCAGTGGACCAGCATGCTAAAGGTTGTCGCGTTGCACCTGAGGAGGCACAGGCTGACTTTCACCACCATCGACGGCTCTGTCAGCCCCAGACAGAGGATAGACTTGGTGGAGGCATTTAACAGCTCCAGAGGCCCGCAGGTATGAGCCGGTCACATCGGAGTTATATGACTAAGAGCAAATTTTTCTCCGTTATACAGAGAATTCTAATGTAGCAGCTCAGTTTAAATATATTCATAGCTTTGATCCCTCCAGGTCTTTCTAATTTATTAGACATTTATGGAGTGCATATCAAAGTATGCAAATACTCTAAAGAGAATAAAATATGAGAGCTAAAAGGAGAGTGAGAGCAGACCTGGCTTGGATCAAGAGCATCTTTGTGGGGGAGGCAAGCCTTGCAGAACAGGTGGGATTCGGAAATGAGGAAATAGGGGGGGAAGTGGGAGAACGAAGGCATCTAATGACGGATAGTGAGAAGGTGGAGAGCATTGGGGAGTGATAGGCAGGAGCATCATAGCAGAGGTGGGGGCAGGGCTGCAGCCACTGATGGAATAGACAGCATCTGGTTAAAGGAAAGTTTACTGAGCTAACCACTCGCAGCCTTCTAGATGGAGCATTTGTATATTTTGGCAGGCACGCAATCTTTTGAAATTCATTCACCCAAAACATGTGAAGTAAGAATTTTTTCAAAGGCGAGGCACGTCACAGTTTCAAAGTAGTGCCTTTACAACAGCAGAAGGAAATATGGTAGGAACACAGTGCTCATCTATATTGATCTGGGGCTTGAACCTAAGTCAGAAGGAGAGGCGTATTATCAGACCAAATGCTGTGAAGTTAATGGTGTGCTTTCTTTTGAAGGTTATGCTAATCTCTCTTTTGGCTGGAGGTGTTGGTTTAAGTCTAACAGGAGGAAACCATCTTTTTCTTCTGGACATGCACTGGTAAGGACCTGGGACTTTCCTTGAGTCATCAGTGGGAAGCAGCAGGCTCGAGTGGTAGTAGGGCCTCCCTACGTCGACTGTGCTCTTTCTGTGTGAGGAGGATGCCTCTGCACACATGTGTACCAATGCAGACCTTAACGGGATGCTGGACTAGTTGACAGCCCTCAGTTCCTGAGCCAGCAAGGTTTCCAGTGTTACTGAAAGTTGTCCATTCATTTAATTGTTATTCTAACACCTATTTCCAGGGATGTAGGGCTTTCCCTTATGGTTAAGAGCTATACCCCTCAGTTCTATGTCTTCAAAATACCGTATTTCAGACATATTTGTTGACGTCCAGGGAACTCTCAACCCTGGAAAAGAGGGAGCAGCTACTCTAAAAGGAAAAGGGGGAGGAATTTTCTAACTTTGTTAGGAATACACCCAACATGCTGCCCTTGGCCTCCTATGTAGTAGCGCCTTTCCTGGAAGTCAGATAAATGAGTTAGCATGTGTTTAGGAAAAAGTGTCCGAATTAGCTTCTCCAGTTATGCTAGTCAGGGATTGCTGCACATCGGCCCGATTCTCCGGGCAGCCCAGGTGGGCACAAGCGAGCCAGCCTGTTATCATCCTGGAGCATGATAGGTCTTACTTGGGACTCCCCTATACATGGGAATGAGGAAGGCAGACTGGGAATTATGCTATTTTCTGAGTGGAGAAATGTTATCTAAGATTTTCAAGCAGTAAGGAGAGAGACTAGTTTGGAGCTGAGAATGAGAATCTATGGAGAAGGAAACAAATTGTCTCCTTAGTTGAAGCACAGGATATGGAAGTTGAGAAAGGTATTCGAGATCACTAGCTAGCTCTCGTATTTCCAAGAAGCAACCTGAAATGGAGAGGGTTGGGGATGATCATTTGCCCAAGATCACCCAGCTAGTTAGTGACTGAGTTTGAACTTGGTGTCACCGCTGTTACCTACAGGCGGGAACCAATGGTGGCGCTGAGTTCCTGTCAGCAGTGACCCCAGCTTCTCCTTAGGGGCAGGAGGATATCTGACACTAAACTTCTGCGGCCAGTGTAGCCTAGGACAGGGATCTAGAAACTTTTTCTCTAAATATTTGAGGCTTTGCAGGCTACATGTGTCTCTCTTTATTTCACAGGTTTCATATTCTTTATTGTAGGATTGTGTTTCTTTGTTTTTATAACCCTTTAAAAACATAACCATTGTTAGGTAGAGTCATACTAAAGACAGACTGTGGGTGGGATTTGCCTGTGGAGTTGGCCATGCCTGGCCTCGGATGTCAGCACCTTTGAACTTTACCTCTCTTCTACCAGGAATCCCTCACTGGAAGATCAAGCTTGTGACCGAATTTACCGAGTAGGACAGCAGAAAGATGTTATCATACACAAGTAAGTAAAGGTCACTCAGGCCCTAGGACCCTTCCCAAGTTATGCTTTTGCGCAAGTCTTTCTTGGCTAGTGTTTTGCTAGAATGCAAAGTATTTGGTGATCACTTGACTAATGATGTTCTGGAGGCACATCGTCTTTAGTGCTCACAGTCAGGAAGGGAACACAGGCGATTTGGGGATGACCTTGGAGTTGGCCTCCGCAAAGGAAGAGCAAGCTTGTCTATAATGGTGAGCCCTGTCTCAGTCCAGGCAGCCCATGCAAGGCCCTCTCCCTTTCTCTGTTGTTCTCTCTCTCGCTTACAACTTTTATTTTGACATAATTCCAGACATATAAAAAAAAAGAATGTAAGAATTCTTATAAGAATAATACGAAAAATTTCTGTAGGTGTGTATAAACATTTTTTCTGGACCATTTGAGGGTAAGTTACAGGCATAATGCTTATTTACCTGTTAATACTTTAGTGTGCATTTCCTAAAAATAAGAACATTTTCTTACATAACCACAATAAAATTATCAAAATCAGGATGTTAACAATGATACAATGCTACAACCTGAGCTATTTTTCCACTTATCTCAATGATCTTTTCAGCAAAAGAAAATCCTAGATCCTGCTTAGCTTTCTGTTGTCATCACTCACAACTCTTTTGTCTCCTTTTATCTGGAACAACATCTAGTCTTTTTTTTTTTTTTAATGTTTTATGACACTGACGTTTTTGAAGAGCACAAGCCAGTAGTTTTATAAATTATTCCTCTGTTGAGGATCTCTTTAAAAGCAACAAAGTCTGCCTTAATGCTACAGCCCTCTCTCTAGGTATGGACCTCTTTTTCTCCTTCCTTTCTGGGGCCACGTTTCCTGAATTAGAAATCACTGTCTTTACTTACTTACCTCCCATTCATTCCTCAACCTTGACCAGCTGACTTTTGCCCCTGTTGGTCCAGTGAAATTGCTCTTGTTAAGGGGCACCAACAAATTAGAAAATTTGCCAAAGATAGCCATTGTTACTTTTCCTGTCTTTAGTGCTCTTCTTACTTTGGCGCACCTTCCTTAAGGATCTTGTCTTAAGTACTCTAGTAACTACAAAGTCTGTATCTGCAGTTCCAAGACCCCGCCTAAACTACAGACCTAGATATCCAGTCCCTCCTCAATACCTGATCTGACCATTCACATACTCACCCATCGTTCATTCATTCATGCATTCATCTCATTTGACTCATAAAGCTAATACCCATTGATAACTTGCTGTGTAGTAACTACTGTTACACCAGGGATTCAGTGTCACAGACTGAAATTGTTTCTTCCTACCACCTCATAGCTATTTATTCTCTGAATTCTGGGTCTTTGGGAAGACTGCCACGGTTGAATCATGGAGCCAGAAGCTAGAGTCCTCCCTCTTTCTCACTTTTCACCTACTGAGTCCACTGATTTTATTCCCTTCATTCTCAGCCTAACTGCCCTGTCCTTCCTTCACATCTACATTTCTTCACATACATGCAAAGCGACTTGGGATCTGGCCCCACCGGCCTCTTGAGCTTCTGCCATTATAGTAGGGCATGGTGGACTCCTTTTGACTTTTGCCCTTGCCAGGCTGGATGACTTGATCTTCCTCCCACATAGCATGTTTTACAACTCAGCTGTGGTTTTTACATATGTTCCAGGCCATAGGGTGCCCTCCCCACTCTTCCATCTGGCAAACGCTTGCACATCCTCCAACTTACACATGAAGCGTTAACTCTCCCATGGCGCCTTCCCTCAGTAGCCTGGGCAGATTTCCTCTTGCTCCTCTTGTGCACTGGGCGTATTTCCATTATTGTTGTTTATTTTTATCTCTCATGTTCTCTTTGAGAGCAAGACTATATTAATCTCTCCATACGTACACATGGCATATAGTGAATTTTTAATCAGCAGTGGGTGAGTGAGTGGATGTCAACAGTGGCATTTCCTCAGTTTATAAAACTTGTTTTCAGTGTGAATTAGCCCCGAAAAAAGATACTCTATTTTTAAACCAGCCCACATACCTACCAGAAACTTGATAAGCTTCTGGGCCTTCTGATCTTATCCAGATGGAGCTTTTTGTGTGAAAGCTGGATCTCCACATTTTTTTGGATAGGAATATCTTTTGCTTATTTTGGCATTTCTCAATTACCTTGGCTTTAGAAAGAAAAAAACAATTGATTTGAGTCATATCATTTTAAACAGATATATACATAGTCAGCGTTGTTTGGATTGCCTAAACATAGAATTCTTAACCAAACCTAAGAAAGCTTAGATGAAGGAAGAAACTTCATTTAAAAACTACAGCATAAATAGAAGTGTGAACATGTTATTAGATATGCTGCTTTGGGTTTATGATTGTTTGCTTCTCTGTTTTTTAGATTCGTTTGTGAGGGAACAGTAGAAGAGAAGATCTTGCAGCTCCAAAAAAGGAAGAGAAATTTGGCCAAACAGATTCTATCAGGATCTGGAGAATCTGTCACCAAGCTCACACTGGCTGACCTCAAAGTCCTTTTCGGCATCTAACCTCCCGTTTATGGAGCTCAGAGCGGTGCCCCTCTTGGTTGGTACCAGGACATGGTCCTCTGAGCCCTCCTTGGCATCCCATTCACCACCAGGCCTTACGCCCTCCTCACAATAAGGCTTATTCTTATTTCCAGAATTGAGGATCTGTTATGTTAACCAGCTGCTCAATCAGTCGTGTTATTCAGCTTAATGAGTGACATACACCCCAATAAATGACTTTGGATAAAAGAAAATGTTTTAGCGTTAGATAATTGTGGAAAACACTCAGGGAGAACTGCGCAATAACTTCCATAAAAGCTCTGTTGCCACCCTGGCCAGGTTGCTCAGTTGGTTGGAGCATCATCAAAAAAAAGTTGTAGGTCCGATCCCCAGTCAGGGCATGTACCTGGGTAGTATGTTCCATCCCTGGTCAGGTGGGTGTGGGAGGCAACTGATTGGTTCTCTCATATCAATGTTTCTCTTGCCTTTTTCTTATCTGTCGGGCAGGGGCAGGGGTGGGGCGGGGAATGACGACCTGGTTCTATTACCTTTTCTAACACAGGCTCCATCCCATCTCTTTTTCTGTCCTGCCGATGAGGCTGCTCCTATAAATCTCTTTGTGGGTTGAGCAGAGAGTGGACCCCTTCGGTCATTCTTCTGCAGTGTTCTCACTTCTGGGCACTTCTGCCTCTTGGTTAAGATCAAAGAGGTGCTTTCTACGTAAAGAGATGTTTGGTGTTTGTGTCACCGTATCATTTAGTAACTGGTGTCTTGTCACTTAGTGTTATATCATTCTGTATTGCTGTCATATGTGCTAGTGTGTGTATCAATTTAATATTTCTATTTTTATAATATCTGTTTTTACATTTACAGTATTTGTAACATTTAGTATTAATGCTTCATTTAGTATTGTTGTATCATTTAACCTTTTACTGTTGTATCATTTAGCATTGGTATTGTCATTGGTATAATCTAATGTGTTTGACAGTGTAGCAGGGATAAAGCTTTTTTTCACTAAACCACATTTCCTTTTCCTGCTGGGTGCCCAGAGAGATTACATTTCCCCATCTTTACTGCAGTTACATGGGTCATGTTACTGAGTTCTCACCAAGGGAATGAGGACAGAAGCGATGTAAGTCTTTTTTAATCTTCCCTCTAAAACTTCGCAAATGATTCATCGGGCTGTTCCCTCCCTCATTGGCCCACTGGATGCAGAGGACCTGATGGAAGACTACAGGGCCCTAGATAATTCTGAAGCCTCTAGATTAGGGATTCTTACCCTGTTTTTTGGCCATGGACCCTTTTGGTTCCTGAATGGAACAATAACCTTCCCCATATGCACCTCCCTTGTCACGCCAGCTCACCCACGTTGGCTTGTGACATGGTCAAAAAATATATATTTTTTTTTAGTCACTGAGATTTTGGGGTTGTTAATATAGCAGCTAGTACTGTAATACAAACTCTTGAGACTTTTACATTTTGGGGAACTATTCAGATTTCCTTCTTCCCATTAGCAGTTGTTTCCAGTACACTTACAAAGAATTGTAGTTCCTCCTAGATAGAGCTGTTACCCTCCTTTGAGTTAGAGGAGGAATTGAAGTCCTGTGTTAACTCAGTCATGGAATGGACTGGGGCACTGGAACCTGTTTGAGCAAAGACACCTTCTAAGGACAAGGTCTAACGGCCTTTGGAGTCAAAGACAGTGTGGCTTGGTAGGAAGGGTTTGGTGTAGAACTTAGACTTGACACCAGTTGCAGGTTTACCTTAGCTGGGGGGTGTAACCTGGAAAAAACCCTTAACTTCTCTAAACTTTGGTTTTCACATTTTTCTTTAATCCTCTGAGGATATGTTTATTGAATTTTTTCTTCCGTTTTAGTAAGAGAGAAAAATACCAATGTGAGAGAGAAACATCAATCATTGATTAGTTGCCCTCCATACATACCTCGATGGGGGAGTTAAACCTGCAACCTAAGTATGTACTCTGACCGGGGATTGAACCCATGACCTTTTAGTGTATGGGACGACACTCTGCTCCAACCAACTGAGTCACTCTGCCAGGATGGGTTTCCACATTTTTAAGAATTTAAAATCAGAATTTGAGAACATAGCAGCTACAGTGAGGTTCTTGATAAAATCAGGAAATGAAAGGCGTATGATTACCCTCTAGGAGTTATGCTGTAAGATCAACACACCAGGGCAATGGTAAGTGTCACCTGAGAAGCGGCTCCCAGGCCAGCGTGAATGTACAAACCCTCTGCCATTTGCTGATTGTCTGATAGGGGGCTAGTTACAGATTCCCTGAGCATCTCCATTCTTTTATCTGTATGATGTGTGGATTATCACATGCCTCATTGTGCTTCACTCGGAATTCAGTAGCAAATGTACATGCTGTAACCCGTTTGATTAGACAGACAGTCGGCTCGTCAGTCGCAAGGTGCGTTAGATGAACACTGGCCGTGTCTGTTCCCAGCACAGGAGAGAGTTGCTAACCTTGAAGTTCAAGCATCCTTGCTTTTCGTTTGGAGATGGATGAAGGAATTACAGCCTGCAGTCTTCAGAGTCTGTGGACAAATGTAACCTACAGTAAGATTCCTTCTGGTATCATAAACAGTTTCTCTAGTGTTCCTTGTTCTGATGGTAAGCTAGCAAAGCCACCGAGCTGTGGCTTGGCTAAGTGTTCCTGTAACAGTGGGATGCTGCTGATGGGAGGTCGATGCAGCAAAAGTGGGAAGCACTGCCCTGACGGTGTGAAATACACTCAGCACGCATCCTAAATTCTCGCCCGGGGGTGAAAATTTCTCATGGATGAATTAATGTGAGTGGCATTCTGGTGACTATCTCAGGCCCACGTTCGTTTCAGTTACCGTGAGTCGGTTTTTTAAGGTCTGGGCGTGATGAGGGGTGTCTTTGCACCCCCTAGCAAATGGGCTCCATCCCACGCTGTAGCGGTCTAAGGGGGTGCTGCCTGTGAGTTCTGCCAGTGTCAGGCAGCCTCGCTCTGTGACACACGACTGCAGGTGCTCTTGTTCCGTCTGCCAGCCTGCTTCCCCAGGCACGGGCAAAGACGAAATGAGGTAATAAGTGCCTTGTAAAGTGTGACATGCCATATGAACACTAGTGCTGTTGATGTGGGACTGGGCCTGGGACTATGACACTCAAACAACAGCATGGGTGTGGCTGAAAGAGCCAGATGGTGAACATCTGTCACCAAAGCATGTCATTGCTGAGCACCCAGCTTACAGGGTATTTCCTATGTGACAGAATTGCCTCTGTGGAAGGTTCATGGTTGGACTTCTCTTTGGTCCAAATGATCAAAGATGGGCATTCGTTGTGCTTGCCACGGCTGGATGGGATCCTGAGCCCTTTACCACCCACCTCCGCCCCCGCCCCTGGACTCCTTCATTATGAACACCAGTAGGTAGAATGATGTCTCGGTGGGCCATGCCCCGTTTCTCTAGTAGCTGGGATTTAGAATGGCTCCATCGGGGTACGGGGTGATTTTCTCTGTCTCTGTTGCCCAGTGAAGTGGCCCTCGGCAAGGCTCATAGGTGAAACCAGATTCTCCTGTGCTAATGGGAAGACTAGGGAGACACCAGGGCTCCCTGTGCCCTTCTGGTTGTCTGAAATCTTGCTGTCCCCCATACTGCCTTGAAAGAATTGGGTTTACAAAGTGGGATCTTGTACTACGTGCTATGTGGCACCCAGCCCTAGGAAAAGACAATTAAGAAGTATACCTGCAGTCATAAAATGAGTTACAGTAGGAACATAACCTGGATTTAAATGTTTTAATAAACAAAAATGAAGTTTGGGTCAGTTATAGTACAAAGCACCATAGGATTCAGTAGGAGACAGAACCTAACTCCTAGGGAAGGAACAGGGACACAGACTCGCTACCCAATGTCTTTACTAGCTTGAGTCCTTTTTTCCCAGAATCCTTAGCTGAATCTGAGTGTAGGGAGAGATTATATATGAAAGAAAGATGGGGAGACCACTTCTACTGCCTAATTATTTATACATTAAAAATATATAGTAAATGCACCAGGCACTGCTAGGCATTGAAATTATAAAGCCAAAAACAATCCCTGTCCTCCCGAGGCTTGCTGTCTAGCGGGGAGACGGGCACTACTCTACTCCTCCGGTGTGACTGTGAAGGGGCAATGATGACACATGCCACATGGAGAGGTCTGTGTAGCTGCGAGGGCAGGCATTCGAGCTGGTTAGGGAAGACTTCTTTGAGGGAGTGATGAAGGAATTGGAATCACTATCTAGAAAGTAACAAGGCCAAGAGTGACAGGCCTCTTCCTATACTCTGCTTTTAATTAGCATCCACTTCACCCAACCACTTCTTCCCTGAGACAGACTGAACACACAGGTATGCATCCTCTGGAGTAGAGCTGAGTGACTGCTGCATTTAGAGATGAGAGAAATGAGTGTGGCCTGGCGGTATGTTTGTGTTTGTTTACCCAAGACAACCAAGGTGTTTATCCCGTTACCACATCCCAGAGGACGGAGACTGTAATTGTGGCTTTTTCTTACCTGTTAACACCAGAGGTATAACTTACATCATAATACGGCATCATGTTGATGCTTCAGTGCTCGCAACTCAAAAGGTGATTTCTGAAACTGTTACACTGGGGACAATTCCTAAACCCTCAGGCTTCTTGTTCTTCTCTTGAGTTCTGCAGATCATTCTTACTTTGCCAGGTTTTTTGGCTGACAGAGCAGCTAAATCAAATTGACTTTAGATTCCACTGTACCACAGGCCAAGGAACAGGGCCCTCCACCCAACCCCCACCACCCGCACAAACTTTCTGAATATTTGTAATAGAACTGTTGCCATTAATATTGCTTAAAGGCTAGGGCATTTGCCAAAACTTAAGTATCTTGTAGAGTATTCTATTACTCATCTACAGTAGAGTTATCCAATTACTGAAATCTTTTTCCAGCTGAAATGAAGGATAAGCTTTTTATCCTCATTTCTGAAATCTGATTCACTAAAAGAAAATGGGGGAAAATGATGTAAATACAATAAGCTTCTTCATGGCAAGCAATTCCCTAGATGTCTGAGGTCATTAGAAAATTCAAGGCTGGTCTCTAAGGTGCATTCAATTTATCCAGTTAGATTTGAAAGAAGGTCAAGATTTTTTCTAAGTGGGCTTCGGTTAAATGGCAAATATTGGGGCTTGGGGGAAGGGATGTCTGGTTGTAGAAAGATACCAAGGA